TTTTTGAAACAACGAACATAACAACACCTCCATATCAAATAATCAGTACACATTATCCTTGAAGATTTTTACTTTTAAAGTTCACCATAATAAGCCATACTTTTATCTCAAATTTTGGGTACTGGCAACAAAGAAAGATGGTCACAAATGTGCAAATGGCCTATAAATTTGAATCCTATATATATGGCGTATTCCATCTATGGATACATATCAAAATTTCTATCTTTTTAGTTTTTAGATACAATATATCATGGAATCGGATATTCAAAATGAAACAAGACACAACATAACAAGAAAAAACAAATTCGTCCAAGAGACCTCTCATCTCGAATCGCTTGCCTTCTCGCTCTTTGTGTACTCATCCCCGCTAAACTATACGAATCTCCATAACCAAACAACAAATCTTCCGAATTTCCAAAAAGCCCCTTGTACACCATTTTACCAAACATCCCAGATATCGGGCTTGCAGGTAAATCATTCGGTACTTCTTGTCGAATGTCACTATGTTGTTGACGTGGCATGGTGTGGACCCCACATGTCCTACGTGGGATTGAGACTATTTTTTCTTCAGAATTTGGTTTTACGGTTGAGGTAGGGACGTATAATGAAATTAAGGTTTTTTCAGATATTTCGGTTTTGCATACAGGGCATAGAGTATTTACTTTGTGTGAAAGATTCATCCATTTGTAAACACATGGCCAACAATAGAGATGTCCACAAAGTGTGACCACAGGATCTTGGACTGTGTCTAGACAAATATTACAATCGAAATTATCTGAAACTACGTTGTTAGATTCATCAACGGTTTCGGATGACGATTTCCACTTTGCATGAGACATGGATTCTTGGAGATAGCCTTCCATGATTATAAAGTTATCGGTGTCTGAAATAGAGATAAAAAAAAAAAAGCTTAGGTTTAGAATTTCTAGCAAAGGATATTGTAACTAAGTTTATATGATTACAAAATTTCAGTCATAGATTTATCATTCTGTCCATATATAGATGATAGAAAACAATCTATCAAGCAGTAAACTGAATTAACAAAATGATCGAGACAGTTTAACATCCAAATTAAATATGAGAATTAAACATATATATGCAGCAATAGATATACTTCATTTTCAATGTCTGATATAACATGCCAATTAATTTGAATTGCTATGAATTGGAATCAAATAGAAATACGTACCAAAAATTGGAGATTTGAGTGTTGTCTTTTTAGATTGAAAATCTGTGACAGATTCAAAGAATCGATTAATTGCTTCGTGAAGTCGCCGAGTGAAAGAGATAGAGATAGAAGACATTGCTCTGGTTAGTATATATAGGCACCGAACTATGCGTATTCGTATACGTATTTTAATAATTGTGTTATTTTATCCCAGAAAAATAAAAATGAAAACTAAAAAAAAAGATTAAGTCAACCAAAAAAAAAAAAACAGTATTTTATTTAACAGATTATTTAAAAGTCAATTCAACGGTACCTCTATTATTTCATTATCAATCAAACACTTTTATAAACGATATGTTTTAGTTATCCTACTATTAAGCAACTACGATTTACATTTTTTTTTCTTCAGTTGTGTACATTTCCCTAAACTATATCATCAAGGTCTGTTTTAGTTACTCAATTATGGGTTAAATTATTCTTAAAAACTTAAAATACGTATCAACTCTAATATTACGACGAATTCAGTATCCATGTTTTATTTTAAATTTTGTTGATAAAATATTTTCTTTTGCTAAGCTTTCTATTCTAATTTATTTTTCCTGTTTACATGAATAGTAAATTTGTTGTTGGTCCAAAACTTTCCTTTTCCTTCTTCTGATTATGAAATATTTTATACACATTAATTATGATTTAATATTTTTATTAAACCCTATAGATATGTTGGACATGCAAAATTTAGTAGTTTTTGAGGTTTAAAGTTTTACTTGTGGAAAGATTAAGCCTTAATTGGGAAAAAGCTTTGTTTGAATAACAAAGCTTTAGGTGCTTTGGTTTTTACTAAAAGCTCTTCGTATTTTTTTTTTTTTTTTTTTTGTAGAGTTTTTGTTTTTTGAAAGAACTGCAAACCGAAAAAAGTCTATATGTCCTCTTTTCCCAAAAGACACGACACATGTTTTTCCAAAACTTGTAGATGTCTGTTAAATTAAAAAAAGAAAGAGAAAATACATGTTCTTCCAAAACTCCCAGACGCCTATTAAATTAAAAGAAAAAAAAAAAAAACAAAACAAAACTTTGTTTGACGGGTTTATCACCTTTGATCTAATTAACATATTCACACCTTGTCGAAAATAAACAAAAACCACTAGAAATGGACTTTAAAAAATATTATTTAATTCTCAAGAAGATAAGAATTTTTTAAATGAGTTTCCCAAAATATTGGGGTGCCACGGATGTACTCTTCCTTTCCACTTACTTGTTCCTTAGACCACTCGGAACGGCACAACGCGTTATTCCGACGTGACGTACCAAAAATGGCGTTATAACGCTTGAAACACCGCGTCCCCTTGCGTTTTTACGCGTTATGTTACAACGCGTTACTGTGGTAACGCTTGACAACGGCCATTTTTCGACGCAAATCCACTTCCAACGTATACATTTTGATTTTTGAACCGTTGTAAAATGGTCAACATGTAAAAAAAAAAAATTAAATGTTTTCAATCTTTTTACCTCTTACACCTATATATATACATATACATCAACCTTTATTTTTTATCTACAATCCTATATCAAACCTTTTTAATTTCAAATCTTCAAAAAAATTCTCTTTTCCTTACTATGGATCAAAACCTCAACACTCCTCCTCCAAACAAAAATACACATCCGCCTCTTGGTTTTGCACAATACGAAATGTACGCGAACATCCTCAATACTCAAGACAACTTTTTCAATTCCGCCTCACCCCCACCACAATTCACTACAACCCTTCCACAAAACCTTTTCAACCCATTTGCTACAATGCAACAAAATACCACACAACCACAACCCACCCAACAAACTGTACCCGAGACGCAAGCGGAAAAAAAACGGCCCAAAAAGGGAGAGCACGAAGGAAAGGGAAAGCGGTTGCGGTGGAGCAATCGGAAGATGAACCTCCAACATGGTGGACCGCGGAGGAGGAATACGCGTTGGTGATGGCTTGGTACGGGACAACAAAAAATCCAACGCAAGGAAACGATATGCGAAGAGTTGCTTTTTGGGAAGCTGTGCTTGGGAAATTTCGTACCAGTTTTAGTAAAGATGAAGAGTACCGCAATCACGACATGTTGAGTAGCAAATGGACTCAAATAAGTAAGAAGTGCACCAAGTTCAATTCCGTCTACAACAAACTTTCCTCGCACAAGCAAAGTGGTGCGACCGATTTTGACGTTTATAGAGCGGCGAGGGAGCAATATCATGTCGAGACCGGTCATGTTTTTTAACACGAAAAAATTTGGGAGATTGTCAAGGAAGACCCAACGTGGAATAAAACGGACACATTTACAGAACAACAATCGAAGAGGTCGCGCGGCTCGGGTTCGGTCGATGTTGAACGACCTTGAAGAGATCTCCCCTCCTCGACGACCGGTAGGCCGCGACAAAGCGAGGCGTGTTCAATGACACGCGGATGAAGCCGAAAGTAGACGTCGAGAGCAAGCCGAAATGAAACAAAAATTTGACGAGCACAACGAAATCGCGCGTAAAAGATATGATTTGCAATGGGATCATTTTGAGTTCCTGCGTCGTGAAGCCAATGACGATCGTATTGCGAAAGATTTGGCAATTCTTCAAACTAGCGAGGAGAATTTGCCACCGAGACGGTTGGAGACACTTCGAAAAATGAAAGCGAAGATTGAGCAGAAATATTTAGACGAAGATTAGTGTTTTTTTCGTTGTAATGTTTTTTTTTTGTCAATGTCTTTTTTTTTTTGTCAATGTTTTTTTTTCGGTCTATGTTTTTTTTTCGTTGTAATGTCGTTTTATGTTTTTTTCGTTGTAATGTCGTTTTATGTTTTTTTCGTTGTAATGTAGTTTTTAATTAGTATTTATTTTAATTATGTGTTATTTAATTTATATGTTTTTTAAAAATTATTATGACATAAATTAAAAAAATAAAACAAAATAGAAAAATGAAAATTACAAACATAAAAAAAATAAAAAATTAAATAGAAAATAATATGTGTTATTACATGTTATTTGGTGTTGCCCATTTCCACGTTGTGTGTTATAACACTAAAAGTATGAGTAGAATGATGAGTTGGATACTTTAGATATAATAACACATAACAACATATTAACCGCCTTATTTTCATATATCAAGTAAAACTTTCCAAACGACATCCCATATATAGGGATGTCAATAGTGGTAAAGAGGATGGATGTAAACTCAAATAGGTTAGATTGTACTTTTGGGCCAATTTTTTGGATTTAATATTATTGGCTACTCTCTATTTTGGGCTTAATCTAAGTAAAGTTCATGGTGTATGACTTCCTTGTTGGCCACATTCGAGTTAAATATAAGGAAACAGTATAAGTATTCAAGAGAATTGGTTAGGAATTTTATAGTTAACTCATTTGTCAAAATGCTAAACTAATGAGTTATAGGCAAAAGATATGTTTAAAAATACATATGTTTTTCTAAATTATTGAATTAGAAATATGGAGGATTTACTCAATCGTATTAATATTCAAAATGATGAATTACTTTTTAAAATTCATTAGTTAATGGAGGTATATAAATATATTATGAAACATTATTAAGTAATACTTATGAGCTAAGTACGAATTATATGTATTAATAAGTTGTATGGATTACGAGGTCTAGATTTATAATATTGTATGGTTCAAACAATCACGACATTTATAGTATTTTTATTAGCATGATAAGAAAAGTGAATAAAAAGTATATTATAATATATTAATTAATAATAATTGTGATATGAGCTGAGTAAAGTTATTAATGTGGTGGTAGGTGTTCAAAGAGTTGTGAATCCATCTTAGCCACTTCAGTGGTTTTATTATGTGTTTGATGTTTCAGGTGAGTTCTCATTAACTTACTTATTATATGGACTATGTGATTATGTTATGTGAAACCACGAATATCATCTAAAGTGATGGAAGTGGTTATGGATTGGAAAATTGGAGAAAAGCCTCACAAAAAAGGGAATCCAGTTGTTCAATCTGAATGGCCATGTATGGATGGTCGACCATGCAAAGCCTCTTTGAGGAAGTTAGTCTATGTAGGGCAACTAGAGAAAATCCTCTTAAGTGAGGGAATCTAGTTGTAACCAGTGATAAGAATGCTAACATTCATATATGTTTATTTATATGTGAATATGTGATAGAATGTAAGTAATATGTGATTTATTACTTAATATTTATATGTGTTATGCTCATTGCATATGTTTTGTATAATGGGTGAGTGTTGTGATTACTCACTAAGCCTTAGGCTTATAGTTGCTACTTTATGTTTTTAGTTTTAGGTCCTTCAGGTTCAAAGGGAAAGTAGCTGGGGGATATCCGGACATTCTCGGAAGGACATGACATCTAGTTTATCTATTGTATGTAATGATATAGTTTTCAAAACAAGACTTAGCTTCCGCATTTTACTACGATTATGTTGATGTAATGTGAAAAGATATTTTATTTATTTATTAATGGTTGTGAATAACACCTTTTGATAAAACCTACACTCTTATTTTAAAAAAATTCAAGGTTGATTTTTGGGGATGTTACATGTTAGCCTTGTAAGACTTATAGAACCAAGACTCTATTTCTTTCTCTCTCTCTCTCTCTCTCTCTATATATATATATATATATATATATATATATATATATCTTGCGCGCACGCATAGGGGATGCTAATTTGATCCAATTTGGTTTGGGTTCACTGAACTTGTGTGCGAGCGCACATCTTGTAGGTAAGAATGCACCAACGGTCGATTAGAAAAGTTCAATGACTTTTTTTGCAATTGTTTTCATTTTTTACTGAAACTATATCAGTTATAAACCCGAAATTAAAAGCCATTAATCATATATTTCGGTTTTGATATCTTGATTAATTGTGTCCTTTACTTTTGATAGTTACGATTTCATATTAATCACATTAGTTATGTTTTATAGTATAAATAATGCATCTCCTTTACTGATTGGGTTACACCAGATGATTGAATCGTCTCTTTCTCTTTTCCAATTCTACTTCTGCTTCTTCCTCCTGTTGCAACCAAGGTATAATCCGACCAAGTGAGGGTTCGGGTAATCTAGAAGAATTGTTTTTTGTTGTTCTATCATGGGAAACAAACACCCATATAGGACGAAATT